ATAAATATAATATAAATATAATATAAATATAATATAAATATAATATAAATGTAATATAAATATAATATAAATATAATATAAATATAATATAAATATAATAAATTTTTTAAAAAAGTATAGAAAATTTAATGTTCCAGAAAGCGTAAAAATTAACAAAACGGAACGGAAAAATGATCGCTCAAGAATTTTTTGTAGAATCGATCTAAATTAGTGTCTTTGACATATTTAGACTTAACTTAGTTGCATTTTCAGAATAGATTGTATGTGATAGATAGGGCATTGTAAAAAAATTGTTTTTCATACAGGCCATGAAGCACATTAGAGCGCGTCATATACATTATTTATTTTTATCGGATGTTGCAAAAAAGCTGAATTCATTTTTTCGAATATCATTTAATTTAGGTATCCAGCTCGCATTTTTGTTGGTGATACTTTTTGTTACTGGGCAGGCATGACTCTCGCATGCACTTGTATACTTGGTCATTTCAGTAAGACTATGGCACTTTTTTTAATCCCGCAGGTAGAAAATTGTTTTTTTTTTGTTTATTGTTCTTGAGATTAAGCTGGAAAAAATTATAAGCTGAGTCTTAATTAGTTATAAAATTGCAATAAACAATAACATGAAGTAAAAGCGTAATACAGTGTTAACAAGGAGAAAAAAAGTTATAGTGAAAATGAATTGATGGCATTTTTGCACTAAATAATATCGTGGGTAGTTCGTTGAATTTGTTTAAAACCAGGTACTGATGAAGCAAAAATGATGTCATGGGGCAGTTTTTTTTAAAGTACTTTTTCCTGCAAATTTTTAATGCTCTTCGAACTTAAAGAAGGGTCATAAAATTGAATATATTCTATATCAACTTAAGCAAATGTTTTTTAAATATAAATTAAAAACCATTTTAACATTCGTGATTCCCATTGAATCTAAATCATGATGGGTATCATTTTGTATCTTCTGATGGTGGAATTTAAATTTTAATTGACTTGGCTACTTTCTTAAGCTCTTGATGCTATGGTATCTGGATGAGTCCGGACGATGATTTTGAGCTAAATCGTCATAATGAGGAAAGCTAAAGACTTATCCAGAATTCCGATTAAATAAATTCTCATTAATACGTATAAGTACCCCATATATTACTGGTAGTTTCCAGCAGTTATTACTATGCAAAACAATATCTTCTTCTAACAGCTCTCATTACTGCTTAGGCTGGTTCGAACGCCTACAAGAGTAAGGCTTCCCCAAGCTGCTCGGTCCGACGCCATCGCTAGTAATAATAGAAGCCATCCCTTTTTCCATCGTCCAAGTCCATATTTTGCTGGTCCACCTATACATTCAAAATCTTTCCTGACCTATCAGTCCAGGTCTTGATTGGCCCACCTCGCTTTTGACGCCATCCATTACACTATTCAGCGAAGTAACGAAATATGCGACAACTCTTGTGGTGGACGACGGAGAACGAGCCCCTAATCACTAAAGGCGAGGCTCTGTGATAACATTATTAATGCAAGCGATATTTGAACGAAGTTGGATGCGATCATGCGATATTTTATCCTCCCGATAGACCCGTAAAATGTACCTTAGAGTGGTCAAAGGTAGATAGTTTCTTAATATCCTCCACTCTCATTGATCATGTCTCAGAGCTATTTAGCAAGATCGAACGAATCACGGCATAGAGATGCGGATTTTCATTTTAATTGTAATTTCACAACGGTTCCGTAAAGGTTTCGCCAACCAACGCTTTTCTAGCTGCCGTTATCCGTGCTATAATATCGTCTTTTGTGTGGCCATTTGGGATTAGAGTGGATCCACGGTATTAAAAATCAAGCAATTTCTCAACCGGTAATGAATTGATATAAATAAGTCTTTTATCACCATCTTGTATATAAGACGAAAGCACTTTAATTTTATTTAATTTCATTGATTTTGAGTCCAAATCTCGCTGCAATTCTTGACACATTGTTTAACATTATTTGCATTATTTGCATTTCATTATAACTGTCAGTAAAATGGACTACATCAGCATATTCAAGGTCTGTAATAATACTATACTCTGGACTGATTTGCATACCACTTGATTTTCGAAGAAGCTTATCAGTTCCTCATATACACAGATCCGCTCCGATGTATGCTCATAAAATGCATACTGCCTTTATAAATCGACTGATCTTCTCAGGAGCTCACTGTACCTGAATTTTTTAGTTTGAGATAGCTTAAGGATCTTGGGAGATGCTGTTTTCTGCGAGTTTTATGCGGATCTTGGCCCGAACCATAACATGATCAGATCCATGAAGATTGCCTGTTTCAGCGCCGCGATAGGTATATAGTACGGAATTTTTCCAGCGGTGACTGATTAATATATAATCAATCTGGTTGAAATGTCGGTTATCCGGAGGAGTTCCACGTGACTTGATGTTTTTTACGATGCCGGAAGTATTATTAGTAATAAAAAGTTCATGCTCGACATAACGAAAAAGGTATCCCCCATTGGCGCATTGGTCTCCGATGCCATATTTGCCAATTGTAGAGGTCATCGCAAAGGCATTATGACCTACGCGTGCATTTCATTCTCCCCCCGACGATGACCATGTCATGTTTTGGTAGAGGCTTTGTTTGCAGTTGAAGTTCCGCATAGAACTTATCTTTATCTCAGTCATCTGCGAACAGAGTTAGACATGATGACCGGAATATTGCAGAATATACCCTTAAAACGAGCATAGGCCATACTATCCTTTACCGGTTTCCACTCAATCAAAGCGGAATTGGCTTTGTCAGACATGACAATCGCTACGCCATTTCGTCCCGAGTAAGCATCACAATGATGTAGCCAGTACCTCTGCTCCGAGCCAGGATTAATAATTGCTCGAGACCCAAAGTGAGGAAGACGGACCTCCGATAAGCAAGCGATATCCACACAATTAGAAAGGGTGTGGGCAGTGATCGCTTGGCTTGCAACGTCCATAAGCGTTATAACGTTCCACGCTGATACGGCTAATACCTCGCCACGTGTGCAGAGGGCTGTTCCCCTTCTTGATAGTTTTCGAGCAATTACCCTTGACAGCACATTTTATTTATCAGCCTTGGGATTGCTTTAAGCTCGGATTGTGCACTTATCGCATGTACCACTGGGCTGGAAGTGTCATGCGCGTCGGGAGACGCTGTATCAAAAATATCTGATCCTCTTACCCCAGAATCACTTGGGGATAGAGGGTCAGACATAGTTATTTTATGAGATTATTTATTTTGTAACAAGTTTTTTAAATACATATTTTATTCAAAATTCTATTTGAATTTAGGAAAAGAGGGAAAATAAAGAAACTTAGCTCGTTTGAAAAGGAGGTTTCGAGAAATAAAAAAACCTCACAATAATTACTTAGAAATAATCGATTTGGGTCAGAACATATAAATGAACCGACCGCTCAACGACAGTCAATCCCCAAAACAATAAATGAAAAGCCTTTGCTATATTAAGATGTAGAACAGACATCGATTAATTTTTAGTAACGATATTATTTTAAAAAATTGATGGAAAATTGTAGTATGGAAAAGATGTATCGGCAAAACCAATAGCATCGATGAGATCACAATGTCGTCCTTCTTCATTATGATTGTTCTTTATGTTTAAAGAATTTTCTTCTGATATAGCTCCAAATATATCTTTATTGGCAATTAAGATTTCATCCTCCTTGTATAAAAAAATTGTAGGATATCAAAGGTTCTTTGTACGCGGGGAGATCCATAAAAGTTAATTTATAGTTATTACATTTTTTCAATTATCTTGAAGATTCAGGAAGCTTCTTAGCAACTTTTCGATAGAAGGATATAAATCGTTCAGCAATGCTGACGGGCTTTTACCAAGCGTATGGTTTCTATAGAAATATAAAATTTTTTCAATTTTCTTTTGAGGGATTATTATAAAAAATCTTGAAATGGAAGGCATCATTTATTGTTTTATTCTTTCATATATATGATAAAAATCAAATTGATATGTTTTGGATTCAGAAAACTATTTAATTTATTGCTTTAAAAATGATTGCTGGTTCAGGCAATAGATTTTTTTTCTATTATAAAAAATTCTTTAAAGATAAATCAAATCGCTCTTCGAATACTTTACATTCTTTCTTGTCTCGTTTGGTTAAGGCTTCAAAAACGAGAAAATTGATTATTTTTTATTTTTGATTACCTCCATTTTTGTTGGTCGAATGAACATTGTTTTTTTAAAAATATGCTAATGTGATCAAAATTGATAAAACCCGTTTTCACTTTTTAATTTTTTTTTTATTTGCTGCAATTTTTTTTAAAATAAAATTTTTGAGCGCAAACTAAAACGCTCCATTTTAAGAATTGATATTTTAGGTCTTTAATTTTATTTACTCGATACCTCAGCTTTTTCGTTTTGTTCCATGCCCGCGGCATAGACTGCCACATTTTTCCGTCAAATCGAATACTGTTGGAATGAGTCTTGTGAAATTCAAAATCAAAGGTATGTCCCTACTTTTTTCTTTCAAAAAAACCTGCAGGCTTATTATCAATTAAATCGGAAATTATATTTTTTTGCTAAACAGCATAATTTTTAGATCTGCATCCAATTGGAAAGTTGTCTTTAAACGTTCTTCATTTTATGGGTATGCTATACAGCAATACATTTGAAAGGAGTGGTGAGATGTATGTTTTTATCATTTTATTCCTAACATCAAACCAAATTTGTGTTTAATATTGTAGATTTTAAAAGAATTCAATGATTTCATCTTAGTGATTTGGATTTAGTGAAATTTGACATTTATGGTGTGCTTCTGGTACACTGAATGATCAGTGCATGACAAGCTAATGACATTTTAAGATTTTTAATTACAATTTGAATGATATTTTTAATTGTTTGGGTAAATTTATTGGAATTCGCTCAGAAAATTTTGGCATTTACGAAAACATTCTTACTTTTGGTGCAGTAAAGATACAGAAATGCTAAAATAGTGAAAAAAATATTTTTTACAAATTGAGCCAAAAAAAAGGTGAAATGTGATTGTGATTCGCATATGCCTAATAAATTTATAGTGAATCTTTATAGTGAATTTTTGTCGAGTATGATGATTTTTACGTTTCTTTTTCAGTTGGCAAGAAATAAATAATCTTACACTTATCAACGTTATACTGAAATTCACTGGTCCTTTACATGAAGAACGATTAACAATTTTGATTCTTAGCATACAGGTTTTATGTTCATTTTTGGCATTTTTTATTCGATTTGGTGTTGCTTTATTGTTGTTTGACGTTGTCGCTTAAATTTTTCATTAGATTCATTATTACTCTGTTCGACTGTTGTAGTGATTTTGCCATTTGTGGTTGTTTTCTCGATTTTTAAAGAAGGTTATTACGTGATTTTATTTGGAATATGGGGATAAATAAATTTGTTTTTAATTATTAAATTTTGAGATTACTGCATAAAGCCAGCCTAGATTCAGGTGCCTTTTTTAAATTTTTAATCTGTTTCGTCTATATTCTTGGTGATTTTTAGGTTATCGTTTGTATTAATAAAAATTTCGCCTGCTTTTATTAAATTTTTTAATATTATGTATACTTTATTTTTATTCTTATTTATTTTTGTCATTTAAGCGCCCATCATAAATATCTTTGGTATTAAGAAAAAGATGATTGGTTAATGCTCTCGTTTGTGGTTAATCTCGCTGTACTAGCTAGAAATATGACGAGAAATTTTTGCCAGAAAGTCACTTAGAAACGGACTTACGGATGAATCTCTAGCGCTATCCGTATTTTTCAAGGACAAGTTCACAAGTTATGTCTGAACTTCCTTTCAAGAAACAGCGATCTTGGCAGTAGTCCTCTACAATGTTTTCGTAATTCTTTGATAATTAAGTTGTATTTGTTCCTTTAATCGTGAGTATATTCATTTTTTCATCTTGAATGCATCTTTGTAAAAGTTATAACGCGTTGTTTGTAAATGTTAAAATTTAAATTGCGGGCTTGGGGTGATAATGTCCAGTATCAACATTTTTAGGCATCCTCGATATTCTTGCAGTTTTTATTTTGTTTTTCACGGTCTGTGCAGAAGATAGTTCGGTTAGGTTCGCATGTAATAACTTTACAGTTTTTATATGTTACTATTTTCATGATTTTTATGCAGATGTGTAGACTGATTAAAAGTCTGCATTTTGCAATATTTTATCGGCTACAAAACTTTTTTCTGTTTCATGGATAGCATTTCATAATTTTATAATATGAGTGGAGTTAAAAATTAAAATTTTCTTTGAAAGTTTTTGCTGCTGTAGGTACGAAACTTCACAGCATTATATCTTGAGTATAATATAAAGTGATAGCACATAATTGCCTCTTCTCGAGACACATTTGACAGATCTAACTGACTGTGTGAAAAAAACAGCGATTTATTTTTTACGTAGACTTAATTCAGTGAGCAAACCAATAATTTACATAAAACGTATAAATAAAAACAGCGTCAAAAGCAAATGATTGATTTTAAAAGCCATATAAGAGAAGAGATTGGTGCATGCGATGGACGATGGTTTGCTAGTTTGAATTAGATCAATAGGTGCACAACAGTATTTTTACGAAGTAATATTTAATAAATCAAAACTATTTTTATCAAAATTTTCAATTTCATTGAAATTTTACCCCACGCATATTTGTGTCTAAGCACTAAGGAAATTTTCATATATATGTAATAAATTTTGAAAGTTCTAAAGAAATAAAATTTTCGAAATCTGTATGAAATAAAACGGTGTTATACAATTATAATTGTTTCTCCACCATTGTCATTTAATAGAAGTTGATCTATTAAATTTAGGCATTTTCCTACATTTTTCTCGCTTGGTAAAATTGTTGATTTTGGGCTGCATTTGTCCAGGAATATGGAATTGCATCTGCAACATTTTACGTCATTTTAAAGTTAAATCTTTAATTGGGTCTTAAATTTACGCACTGAAGATTTAATAGAGCAGAAAGGTGATAATGCATAGTCGTCCAAAAATTAAATATTCTCTATTTCCTCTATTTTTGAAAATGCGAATATTATGATAATGCAGCAGAGAAGATAATAGGAACAGTTTAGTTCAAATCTTGTGAACGAACTTTTAAGTTTTTTGAATTTATAATTTTTTTTGTAAGTAATCTGGGCACCACGGTTCAAAAAACCTAATATCCATTTAGCTCTTAAATGCCTCCGGGTGCTGGTGAGGGCTCACCTTCCCTCTGGTGAAAAACCTAACCGAAGTTAGATCAGCTAAATCAGGAATGTTTAGTGCAGGTACCGAAAATATTGAATTTTCTTATTTTTCTCTTAAGTGAAATAAATTTAAAATTTTGATTTTATTTTAAAGTTTAATTTCAATTTTAGAACTCAGCTATTTAAATATGCCTTAGTACGATCTTTATTATTTGATTATTTTGAGTAAGTCTACAAATACTATTCTAATTTATTTCAACTTATTTTTCCGTCCTTTTTTATGTTCTTTTTCATTCACCATTTCTCGTTTGGCTGGCTTCACTGGCTATTATGACGTGGCCAGAGACTCACATAGGGATAAAATCATGGAATCCATCATTAACTGGATTTCACGACTCTATTCCCGTCAAGCGGCAGGAATCGAACCTATAATCGCTTGATCTTAATGTACCACTTAACCATGCCTTTTTCCTATTATCCTTTTTTTCACTTAGTAAATTTTTGATTAAATCATCAAGAATACCTGTTAATATCGTTATCGTTAATGCGATGTTCATTAGCGTCTCGATTTGTGTCAAATAAGCCATTTTTTATCGACACCGTTTCTTCAATATTATTTCGGTTTTTAATATTCAGTTTCATTTGAGAGCGTCCATATATTCCATAGCGACTTGTGCATGCTAAAGACGGCACAAATACCTGTCGAAATTCCTGAAGTATTTTATAGTTCCTTGCACTGGTTAAGTGAATTGCAGTAATAATTATTATTTCACTCACAAATATCCCATAGTATCCTTATCGAATTTCAAGTATTTTGAGATGCATACGAAAAAAGTTAAGGATCCCCATAAAAATAATTTTGTAAAAAATTTCAACTTTCTGAAGGATGAATAGAAATGTAATAATAACAATATGTAAAATATTTTTTTAGAAATTTTCGGAAATCACAGGAGTCATCGCTTACATTTCTGAATTGAGTGCTCATTGAACAGTAGATTATAAAAGTAGTACAAGCATTGCATAACGATAATAAATCGAGAATATCGCCTAGATTATTATAAATATGTCGGCGAAATTCTTCTGAAAACATTCCAGATAACACTGCCATCACACCCTGAGGCATTTCTGTTATAAGAAATACAACTACAATAATTAGAAGCATTCTCGTTGTTCGGTCAGTTCTTTCATTTCGACAATCTGTTACTGATCCACTAAAATAAAAGTAGTAGCTTTAGTCGAAAAAATCAGTAAAACAGAGAATGGCTGTTGCAGTTAGAAGGAAGGAAATATATGATCACATACAATATATATATATACAAATATTTATATATTTTAATCTTCTGTATACATGGGAATAAATTTTGTTTTTCTCATTTATTTAAAGAGAGAACAGCATCTGAAGTTTTTATGAATTTCTGAGGAACTCGATTTTCGTTATTTATCTTTGGCAGAAGTGAAAGTAATAGCGAAACGAACCGCATTTTCGTGCTTGAATTAGTCCCTTGAATGAGACGTTTCCTTTTTTCCTTCACGTCATCCAAAATCCTCTTTAGCAGCCAAACTAACAAGGTTAATAAAAGGCAAGGAATTAACTTAAATATTGTTCCTGATATCCAAAATGCCATCCGAAATACCTGCAGAAATTTTTTGTCTAAAAAATTTTCACATCAATATTATGACAAACATAAATAAAGTATCAAAAATATTAGCTGAAAAAATTTTTTCAATATAAGTCCATCGGAATTTTGAATAACCAATGAAAACTTCCATCGAATTTTCCAAATTTTTTAATTATTCATAATAATTCAAAAATATATCAAAATGACAAGCAACTTTCTAAAATCTTTAATCACTGTTCAATCACATAAATTCATTCCTATGGTCATGTTAAAGTATAAATATTCTCTAATATTCTAAATACTAACAAGGCACTGAGCCTGAAGAGCCAAATCAGATACACCAGGAATATAAGCTGGCGCGTAACGAACACTTTCATCTTTTATATCGCATGTTTCATTAAGCCTCATCTCGATTATTTTATAAGTTAAAAAATTGGGTCCATTCATAACTGTAACGAAAACAATGACGAAAACAATAGCAATATATGAGTGGCCTGTAAAAATCTAAAAAAAAAAAATTACAATCGTTTTTAATATGATCGGAAAGTTGAATTTAATTATAATTTTTTGACTAGTTTTAGATCATATTTTTCTTATCACTATTCTGTAAGTGAAACATCAAGTTTTTCGATACAGACTGCAAATTATCTAAGACATGTAAAATTTTTTTCATATTTTTTTCATCACTTCAAAGTTTCTTTTTCTTCTTCTAACAGCTCTCACCATTACTGGTTAGGCTGGCTTCAACGGCTACAAAGGTAAGACGTCTCCAAGCTGCTCGGTCTGACGCCATCGCTAGTAGTAACAGAAGTCATTCCTTTTTCCATCACCTAAATCCATATATCGATGGTCCTCCTATACGTTCAAAATCTTTCCTAACTATGCAGTCCAGGTTTTGACTGGTCCCTCTCACTATTAATGCCAACCATAACAGGGTTTAGCAAATAATGAAATATGCGTCAACCTCTGTGGTGGACGACGGAGAACCTACCCTAACCAGCGAAGGCGACGCTCTGTGATAATATTGTTAATACAGGTGATATTTGAGCGAAGGTGGATACAATGTGTGATTTTATTTGCTCGGCGGATCTGTAAAATACCTTAGACATGAGTGGTTAAAGGCTGATAGCTTCTTAATATCTTCCAATCTCACTGGCCATATTTCGCAGCAATATAGCAAATTCGAGCGAATTGCAACTAAATGGACTCGGATTTTTGTCTCTATGGTAAATTCGCGACGGTTCCATAAAGATTTCATCAACCGGAAAAACATTCTAGCTGTCGTTATCCGGGTTATAATATCCTTTGCCTGGCCATTTGGGATTAGAGTGGATCCACAGTATTAAAAATCAACCAGTAATGAATTGATAAAAATAGGTATTTTATCACCATCTTGAATATAAAACGAAAGCACTTTCGTTCTATTTACATTGATTTTGAATCCAATTCTCGTTGCAGTTGACACATCGTTTAATATTATTTGTATTTCATTATAAATGTTAGAAAAAAGGATCATCAGTATATTCAAAGTCTATTATACTATGCTCTGGATTGATTTGCACACCACTTTAGTGCCGATAAGCGATGCCCATTATTCAGTCAATTACATAGCTGAATACTGTAGGAGAAAGGACACGTTGACAGACACCAGTACTTATTTCGAAGAAGTCTGTCAGTTCCCATATACACAGACCTGTGCTAGGGTATGCTGATAAAATGCCTTTATGAATTGAATGATCTTCTCTGGGACACCGTCACATTCCATCATTTTCCAGAGCGCTACCCTATCAATCAATCGAAGGCAGCTGCAAAATCCATAAAGCAAGTGACGGTAGATGGCTGGTATTTGAATTGATGTTCCAGCATCCTTCTTAGCGTAAATGTTTGATCAGCACAACCATGTCCCGGTCTGAATTCAGCTTGTTTAGGACGCATTCTGCTGTCTTGTGTTGCCATAAGCAAAGAGGAAGCGAAAAATTTTCCGAAGATGTCCAGCAGACTGATTCCTATCACCTTTTTTTCTTAGGAACTGAAGGCAGAACCTATTTTGCTCCAGTCTTCTGGTATTATTTCTTTTTGCCATATTAAAGAACATATTTGTTGAAGGTGAGTTATGAATGGTGATGGACAACATTTGAAGAGTTCGTCCCGAAGACCATCTTCTCCGAGAGTTTTATTGACCTAAAGCTTATGGATTATAGAGATTATTTCCTCTTCTGTTGGCGGTACGCAGTTGCAAACGTAAGGTTCAACGGGCGAATCAGTTATATTCGGATGAACAGATGGAAGAACCACTATCAAGTATCTCTTCCAGCAGTGACTGAACAATATATAGTCAATCTGATTGAAATATTGGTTGTCCGGAAAGTTCCACGTGACTAGATGGTTAAGTTTGGCCTCAAAAAATTCTTTCCATCTTCTGAGACATTTCGTTGTAATTCTTCGAAGCAAACGATAGTCAGGATCACCTGACATTCGTGCTTTGGCAACTTTTCAGATAGTTGGACAGCTGCTTCTACACCCAACTAGCACTTCCTATTAGAATACTCTAGTGTGGAAGTGGCTTTTGTAGGCATGTCTTTAGTTGGGACCAGTATTCATTCGTCGTTCCAGAGATGTCATGGACATCCATTTCACAGAGATGTTTCAATAATACGGTTTGAAATGCGCTTATCGTTCCGGATCTTTTAATTTGAGATAGTTGAAAGATCTTGTTTTTTACTTGTCAATTTTACACGAATCTTGACTCGAACCATAACATAATCTGATCCATGGCGGTTACCAGTTTCAGAGTCCCGATAAGAACCACTATCAAGTATCTCTTCCAGCAGTGACTGAACAATATATAGTCAATCTGATTGAAATATTGGTTGTCCGGAAAGTTCCACGTGACTAGATGTATTAGTAACAAAGAGTTCATGCTCTTCGGAAAAATGAAGGAGTTTTCCATTGGCGCACTGGACACCGATGCCATATTTGCCAATTATCGAGTTTATTGTAACGGCATAATGCCTTACGGGCGCATTCCAGTCTCCCCCGATTAAGACCATGTCATCTCTCGATAGGGAAGTTGTTGACAGTTGAAGCTCCCCATAGAACTTATCCTTATCGCGGTCATCTATACTGATGACCGAAATATTGCAGAACTTTCCCTTGAATCACAAGTAGGCCATATGGTCATTTACTGGTTTCCATTCAATCAGAGCGGATCGAGCCTTTTCAGACATGGCAGTCGCTAAGCCATTTTGCCCCGAGTAATCCGAGACACCAAAGTGATATATGCAATATCATTGCTCGGAACCAGGTTTAACAATTACTCGAGAGCCAACATGAGGAAGACGGACCTCGGACAAACAAGCCACATTCACGCGGTATTTAGAAAGGATGTGGACAGTGATTGCTTGGCTTGCAAAATCCATAAGCGTTCTGATGTTCCAAGCAGCTATAGCCAACACCTCACTGCGCTTACAAAGTGTTAACAGATAGGCTTCCGCCTCCCTTGGCGAATTTTGAGTACTTATTTCGGCTCGCGAGCAAATTCTATGCGTGCGCCTTGGACTTGTATTATTTTTATTATTACTATAGCGCCCGGATTGTATATATCTATTTATCGCATGTATCACCGGGTGTGAGAAGTAACATGCGCGTCGGGAGACGCAGACGTCGCGTCAAAGAAACCTGACCCTTTCACCATAGAGTCACTTGGGGATAGAAATACAGGTGGGTCCCCAGCAGCCACCCGGATTTTTGACATCCTGTCAAAGACAGAGAATGGAGATAATTAAATTAAATTTAAAAAGAGAAATTTAAGGATAATTTTAAAAAAATAAAGAGAAATATTTATTAATTTTCTATTGTTAAAATTCTTTAAAAAATTTAAAAAGAACTTAGCTGAATTAACAAAAAAAAAAATTGAACAGTAAGACTATAATTGAGAAATAATTCAAAATAAATCAGGAATGATTTGCTGAAATGACCGCTTGCAATTCTCGAAATTCTTATTTTTTTTAAAGGATTTTATTCAAAGTTTAGTTCACTTCAAAATCATTGTATCTTGTTTCATACTAAAACCGGAAAAAAGCGGGATAGATGAGTAGCTGCATCGAGCATCAAAGATTCGATTCCCTGATCCTGAGAAACGTAAAACTGCTACGAAAAATTCTGCGTGGTACTGGAAAGGCTCACCTATACTTCTGTCGCCAAGGCTGCCTGGCAAGAATTTCTAGCCCTACTAACACGCATGGGTTAGTCTAAACAGAAATAGAGCGCTAACCACTCACTTACTTACTTAAAATGGAATGGGTTAAAACCGATTTACTAGAATTATTAAGTATATCTTGATTTATGTTATCAGAGAAATGGGGAAAATTTTATTTATTAAAAAGTGTTAAAATTGTAATTATATAAAAATAAAAGCTAATCACCTAAGTGGAGCTTTTTAAAAATATATTTCAAATATTTTTAAATAAAACCAAAGAATGAAAAATAAATCGAAACAATTCCCCAATGAACAAGCAAAATGAATAAAATTAAGTAATTTAAAATTCATAAAAATTTTAACGAACCTGCATTCCATTTATATTTCCTTGTTGTATGGTCATATATCGCAGTAGTGCAAGCATCACTGAAATTTATACTTTGATGGTAGTTTTAACTCCAAGTTTTGTGTTAAGATGCTAGCCCTAAAAAGCTGAATCAAATTATAATGATTGATGATTTGTATTCTAATAAATTAAGAAAGATCTTGGTTCAATGTATCTGAAGTTATATATATATATATATATCAATCCACCAGTACAACGTTAATAATAATATAACATTAATCAGAATTTACAAATGGACCATTTTTCAAAAAAACCATTTTAAATCAGATCAGTGGAAAATTTCGCAGATTTTTGAGATTATGAATTGGTCAGCGCTTACTATTTCTCGTTAGGCTCACACTAATTGTTAGTATAGTCAGTAATTTTTTAAGAAATCATTAGCAATAAATATACATTGGTCGTCATCACAACCCAGATTTTTTAATGACAGATTAACATCTGCCAAATGCAACAATGCAAGTCCTGGCGCTTCGAAACTATAATTCGGTTATACCATCTTTTGAGGATATAAAATTGACTATCATGAAGTCTGATTAAGAAACTAAGCTGGTCATCGAATAAGTAATGTAGTATTTTACAAAATTTTGAACCAAAATAACAGGAAATTTACTCAAATTATTCAGAATTAATCAATTACATAATCATCAACATTTTCTGCAACTTCTTCCTACTAGAAATTCAAAAAAAATTTTTTTTTATAACCTGCATCCTTGGCTTTGAAATATTTTTCAATGGAAATTAGTTCAAAAAAATTTTTTTTTATAATCTGCATCCTTGGCTTTGAAATATTTTTCAGTGGGTTTTTGAACAAAAAAATGCAACTTTTTTCGGCTAAATAGTGTTGCAGAAAATAAATGGAAATTAGAAAGAGGAAAGTTGGGGTTATAAGGTGGATGAGGTTCGAACTCCTCGATTTTTGGCACATATTCTTTGAAGCATGAGCCCTTGCGTTGTCATGTGGGAGGACTATATATCTTCTTTTAGCTAATGCAGATTTCCGATAAAATTTTTTTTTTTATTTCTAAAAACGATTAAGTTGTTCGCAGTAGACATTAGAGATGATAGTTTGACTAGCTTTAAATTCTTAATGAATTATTATTCCCTTTATTCCATATAAAGTAGAACTTTTCTCCAAAACCGGATTAAACAGTTATTGCTGGTGCTTCTTTCTTTATAGCTGTTAATATTTAAGATTGAGATTATCGCGGAGTACCCATTTTTCATGGCTTGTAATGATTCTGCTCAAAAATGATTCGAAATATATTAATGATTCTTGAAGCATCCTCTTCGGCAAGTTGATGTAGAGCCCAAACACTACCTCATGATGGAATATGATGGAAAATTATTTGCTTGTTATTTCATTTTGAGCTGTTTCATTTTTTTTTCACCATTACTGGTTAACTCGCTCCGCCGGCTTGTCGCATTGTACAAATATGCAGTGGATTCCCTTGGCGATAGAAATACAGGTGAGTAGCCAGCATCACCCCAGATTTTTGAACAGGTTCACTCCTGCCGGGAATAGAACTTCAGTATTGGGGATTCGAATTGAGCAACAGCCCACTAAACCATCCTACCCTCATAATAGTTTGCTTATTATTTCATTTATTGGACTACTTGATAAATTCTCACTGAATTCAACTAAATCAAACGTATAATGTCGCGCTACTATATAAACGTAAGAAACGTAAAAAATGACTTGTACTTGCTCGCTTTATTCGCTTAGAGAAACGAAATCACTTTCACTCTAAGTAAATAAATTTTTAAACTACTGCCAGTTTTCACTTAATAATTATCATTGATGGCAAACATACTTTGAGCCAATTTAAAAATTAAAAAGTTAAAAATTAAGCCAAGTTAAAAATTTCAACAATATATGTATTACCTGAAAGCCAAACACTACTAGAATGCCCAACAAGAGAAAGATTTGCATGCGATATCAAAAACATCGCCCAACCATAACTCCAATGTTTTGGATGGCAATTCGCAAAAGCAACAAATGTATAATGCGTTGTATAAATTAGATTGGAGAAAAGCACAACAGTGTCACAGCAGGCCATCGCTGTAAGTATCATATTCACTGGAGTACGCATTTGCTTCCTGTAAAATAGAGAATAAATAAAATAAATCTTTAAATTTATATATTTTTTATATAATTAATAATAATATAGTAAATTGCCGAAATGGAGTAAGGTGAATTATCCATCAGAATTTATTCCCATCGATGATGAATTTTTACTTCCAAATGTTCTTTTTGGAGGATTTAAGCTGAAATGTCGAACAAGCAATCCCAGAATATAGAAAAGACATACTGTAGGCAAATAGGCAAATAGAAAGTCAATTTATGAAAAGCTGTAGTGAAGTTCATTTTCATTTTACAACACTACTCCAAACGTGCATTATTTATACGCATAAATTAAAAAATTTGAAAATTCAAGAACCTTGTAAGAACGACAATGTTGCAAAAATTACATAACGTGCCAACTGCGCACAAAAATATTGAAAGATATGTATGTATAGGCCTATAAAAACTGTGAATATTATACAACCATGCATAAACTATACTCTTCTCAGGCAACTGAAATATAACTGTTTGGCACTGCTCCAAGGCGTTCATCATTCACCAGCTAATTCTTTTTGTCATCTCTGGAACAAATTCAATTTTAATCAATAGACCGATTGTTTCTAGCAAGATTTTTTCTTCAAGTCGTAAAAAAAGAGTGCTTTATTGGATGAACCTTTTCATCAAGTAAAAAAAAAATGAAGCATAAGAATGACAAATATGATGAAGTTACTTTCGTAATTATTTCGTACGTCGCGTAACAATCTAAATTTTGCGATATTTTCCGAGGCCTACTCGAAATTTCCAAGCGATGTCGAAGCGAAGTTAGTATTATTTCTCAACTAACTATTTTTTATCATGAAACTAATACTCAAAATAATGGATCAAGGCAAACAAATTATAATTATTGATTTATGAAAAAAGTTTTACAGCCTGAATAATACATCATTTAGAGCGAAATCCAAGGAGTGCTGGGAATTCTATGTACTTTTCACCGAAATCACTGGAGAACCCTGTAGAAGGCATCTGATCTTAATAATCAGTGAAACCAGCTAAATCTGAAATAGTGCATATTGTTAGAAAAAATATTAGAAACAAGTAAGACTTTAAATTAGACGCATCTTTCATACACTGAAGTCATGAAATAATATCAGCCAATTAATGATAATTAATGATTATAATTAGTGACCAGGAAAAAAATCTCAAAAACATCAACTTCATATATACTATTTGAAGAATTTAATTCAATAATAAAGAGAAGAAAAATTTGAAATTATATCATAGTCAAGATAAGAGAGAGTTTCAACTCCAAAACATTTAATAAGTATCTTGAATTAAAAGATATAATGACCAGATATACGTATATGTTAGACGAATATGGAATTGGGTTTATTTAAAAGTCGTGCTTAATAAAACAAATATTTATTTATTCTGTTAATTATTTAGTAGCGGAAACTGAGAAATAGCCAGTCGTCCAATGTTCCAACATAAAAAAAAAGAAGCTGCATTCCCAACTGGAGATCGATTAACTCTGCATTCTGTGCTAGACCGAAGATAATCCGAAGAACAAAGAGGAATTAAAATGTGAAACTGGAAATTCCTTTCCAATACGTTCAAAGTTGAGCAACTGACATCAGGCAAAAAATCATGAATAAACTAATTGTAATCAATCCTCGAGGTTGATTATCGAGGTTTAGCAGAGTTTTTCCAAAGACCTAGATAACATATTGAAAATGAGAATAGAGTTCTTAAGACAATTCTTACTACCACTTAAAAACCAATGAAATAGTATACGCCACAGCTGTGATTCTGGAAATATTTGGACGTTAGAATAGAGAAGAATAACAGTATAATCACTCATGAATCTGTGTATATGTGGCTTTACACAAAATCGATAAGATCATCTTTAAATCAACTCAGAATAGCTTGCATAAGTGGCTATCGAGTGCGACATATATACAGGTGAAATAGGTTTAAATCATCTCAGCCAGATAATCAATATCAGCCAGTATCTCAGAAAGTGGATAAGGATATATGTCCAAGAGCAGAACTTTCAGCCATCTTCTCGACATGGATGACAAGTTATGCTTACTATGAGACATTGACTTATTCATTTGTGAGAACATTGAGATGTCATTTGGACAGGAGAGGTGGCTAGATGGTATTAAAGAAAAGAGAAATAGTTGGGACTGATGGAGACGAATTACCAGTGGAACATATAATAGATATACCAGCTAAAAGTATCTTAATACCCCAAAATCACAGGGGAACCACGATGAATGAACAAAGAAGATAGCAACATTCAAATACCACCAAAGAATAAAGCGAAGGACCAGCTCAATGGGGATAAAAAAATTCATGCGATAAATTCATGTGCGCCATGCCTGCCATCAGGTATACAGCTGGCAAAGTGAGATGGTCAAAGGAAGAAATGGAGGCTATCGATTTGAAGACGAGGAAACTGCTTACAATGCACGGAGATTTCTACTACCCCCTCTAACACTTTGTAGCATCTTGGAAGAATGCGGCTGGGGCTTGGTGAGAAGCCACTATCTTGAACAAAACCCTTAACATTCAAGAATGTGTCAGCAAGATGAAACCAAAGGAGGTGCTGCAAGAATACCTGAATGCCTGAAGCATCTACAAGCCTTAGAGAAAGACCAAGTAAAGGAAGGTCTAAGGCAAAGCAAGACTATAAGATGTACCATCGAAATCTAGCTGAAATGGCTGAAAATAAGAAATCTTACCAACAGTTGGAAAAAGCTGGATTAAACGATAATGAGGCATTGATCATAGTAGCACAACAGCATGTACTAAGAGCCAGATTCGTTCAAGCACTACCACACTAGATAGGATTCAAGGTGCAGACTGCGCAATAAAAGCCTCAGAAATTATTTAACGCATGGGGGAATAATGCGAAATGCAAGAAAGAAGGAACAGCATACACGCATAATCGAAAGGCATAACCAGGTAGTTATCCACATCTAAAAATTAAAAAAATATCTACATGAGTTCGACTCCCCTAAGATAAAATGAGAGATTGTCAAGAAAATCGCGGAAAATAAGTCCAAGATTCTGTAAGAATTCTCCACCCAGACAATCCAGAATTCTCCATCCAGAGAATGAATAATGACCAATCAACCAGATACCACAGTAGTAGGCAAAAAGAGAAATTGGCACTAATGATAGATATAGTAATAGCAAGTGACAGGAACACTGGGAAAAAATAATATGAGAAACTAGAGAAATAGCATGGATGAAAAGAGGAACTAGAGAAGATATGGAAAGCGAAGATTATAGTAATACTAGCGGTGGTAGCAACTCTAGGGACTATGACCCCTAAACTGAAAAAGCGGTTCTAAGAGATCCCAAGAATATCGGAGATCTCTGCCTAAAATAGCACATCGCTAGAAATATTTATCCCCTTAAAATATTGAGCCCCAGGCCTCAAGTAGAGGACTCGAAGTTGAGGATGAGCAATACCACAGAAAAAGAAAAGGATTTTTATTTGAACTGACATAAACCTGAATTATCCCCATGAAAAACTGAGAAATTTCAATACATACATTCTTTTAATTATAAGAGCACATCACTCATCATTTTTGGTTGGACTCTATCCTTTGTCTTGTAGATGAAATTTGCCAGGGAGTCACCTAGCGATAGAATTACATATGAATCGCGAGTTTCACCCGAATTTTTGAAAGTTGCAGAGGATAAATCTCCAGCATCGGTGCTCTGAAAAGAGAGCAACATTGAGAGATTATAATGAATATAGATATTCATGCTGCATTCATATCATTAAAATCAAAATTTTTCGCTAGTCTTAAGAATGATGATAATAAGTTGTATGAAATGAAGATTATTGCATATCCATCCACTTTTCTAATATCCTGTTTTATCTTAATACTTAATTTTTAATACTTCGCATTCACCTTTTTCTGGTTAGCCTTGATCTAATGACTGTTAGTATGAAGAAAAATTTTTGCTAGGGGGAGTTCACCTGCATAGAGGTACAGTTGGCATTATATGATTTTTTAATTATAAGCTCACCACTGTGGGAGTAATAATTTACCACTTATTACCGCAAATTCAAAAAAAAGAATTCGTTTAAACCGAAAAATAAAAAAATTTAATTTTTAGAAAAATAAAACCGATTTTTTTGGCCATTTGAGAAAAATTTTTCAAAAGAAATATTCAGCAAAATTAAATTAAATTTCTCATATTTAAATGAGCAAATCAATATATCTAACTGATCATTTTGCGTTTCTCACAATGCACTATGATAAAATTGAAATGGAAGACTTCAAAAGAATTATAAAAGATACATATAAAATGACCTAAAAGTAGATACTTAACGATTATTATGACAAGGTGGCCGAGTGGTATGTTGCTTCGAGATAAGCATAACGGGTTCAAATATTTCCTGTTCCTTAAAAGAAACAAACCAATCATTAAAAGTAAAATCTGGTTGGTGCTGAAGACCCATCTATACTTCCACTGCTCAGCCAACTAAGCTAGAAATGGTGAGTGCTATTAGAAAAAAGAAGGAAAACTTTAAGACAGATTAGCAGTATCAAGTGAAAGCAAATAACTAACTGACTAAAAGCAGATGGCCTTACCGTCAATTCGTGGTTAAAAGTAAAAAAACCAAAAATATAAAGCCAAAGCAATGAATCTAAATACTTTTCTAGCTTACTAATAACAAAAACTTCATGTAATGTCCAACATAAAACTATTACAGATTCCGCCTTTACTCCACAAAATAGAGTAAGGAAGGAGAAAAAAAAAGAAAAAACGGAAACAAATTTGTCTCTTTTCGCTTCTGTTCTAGCAAATTGGCTCTTTTCTTAAGAAATTGATGATGAAAAGTAAGTTTCCAAATTCAATTTGAGAAGTTTTAAAACATAAAATCTTTTGAAGTTGTAATATTTATACTTTTTATGAAATTTTCCAACAGCGAACAGTGCAAAATGAGTTGACAGCATAAGTGTGTTCCATTATAAAAGAAATAGAGAGGAAGCAGGCGGCTCAGCTATCTTTCGATCCCCAGGTGATTCCACGTCAAAGCTATCTCATCCTACTAATAACTAATAACAGCCAGTGAAGCGAGCCAGCGAACTAGAGACTTACTTACTTACTTTCAAGGCGAAAATGTACACATTTAAGCAACAGAATGAGAAAAAAATTCATTTCGTTATAGATTTTGTGAAATCTTAAGCTGTCTGAACATTGATTAAAACTTTCTTGACATACCAATTTATCAGCTTTATTTGACATTTTTTAAATCGAATAATCGATTTACTTTATTCACTAGCGCTTTGCTAGCAATAAGGAGTTCATAATCACCATATTAATGGCATATATTAATTGATATACCGCCTTTTCGCCATATTTTGTTTTAGTTCACATGATGCGTAAAGCAATCGCTCATGTCCATTTAGACTATTTGGAACCAAGGAATCTTAAACAGCCGCAACAATTAACCTATTAAACAAAGCGAATTCATTAAATTTCTACCGAAAATACAAATGTAGGATAACCGAGTGGAAAGTAGTTCA